CCCCAAAACCCCAAAACCCCAAAACCCCAAAACCCCAAAATCGGTCTCTTTATTGAAAATCCTTAATTTCCACCATTATCATCCTCTTCTGCTTACAACGCGAAGGCGAGCCCTACCATAACTCCAATTCCGATCTGGCACAACCCGTCTATCACCGACAGGATGATCATCAGAGTTCTGATCTTCCTACACAATTCATTAAAACCCAGAATTTCCTGGAAGAAAACTCCACTTCCTCTAAAATCTTAGCCTCTTGCTGTAGCCTAAGGCCTAGCTCAGGCTAGGTCTGGGGAAGAGCTTGGAGATAGGGATTTAAGTGGATAATCCAACTGACACCATTTTCTAATCTATAAGGCCTAACTGAGATGGTGCTCATCGAGTTCTGCCATTTATGACTGAACTGCTACCTCTAAATTTTATGCTCAATAATGGCGAGTAGCTCTGATTTAAGATCTAAGTGGTACTTTAAGCTCTAAAAAAGCCCTTCAAGATACACATAAGGAACCATCATCTTACCTATTTCTTCAAAGACTGATTCTACGCTGAGACTGAGGATGCCCATTGTAAGGATATACATTTTGATACTGCATTTGTTGACCTGCCATGTGATTTCTACAAAAAGTTAGAAGAGAATCTTCTAAATTTAACACACAGGAAATCATTGGAAATGGATTCTGAGAGAATAGCTAATATTTAAGACATAAAATTTCTGAAACTCCACAAGAGAACGAGATTTGTGCGGAGAAGAAGAAGTCTGTGGGAGGAGTAGTGGCTTACGGGTGCTGGAAGGGTGGGCTGGCATAGGGATTTTGGGATACTTGGATAGGCTCGCCGAGGGATGTGGAGGAGGTGTGGATGTTGGGGTCTTTGGGTAGGGAGGTGGCGTCTTGGGATGGAGGAACGGGCTGAGGGTTATGACTTCCAACACCTCTAGATTTCTTTTGGTCTAAAGAATAAATGGTTAATATTTTCGATACCATCAACTGAAGATTCCTGAGAAGGTGCTGAATCTTTCGCTTCTTCATCTCTAAAGAATAAGTAAGACATCCATCTCAAAATTTAGGAGTAATTACTGCTCATCAGGTAAATAGTTATATCTGACACTATTAGCTTCATTCCACATTTATACTAAAATTTATAAAATAGCTCTTTTGCTTTCGGCCTCGTAAGATTTTGGTAGAGTAGAATACCTGGAAGGTGGGGGTTGGGATTTTTTGGGGATTTGGGAAGGGAGATAGTGGGGTTTTTAGGGGTGGAGTGGGAGGAAGGGAGTGTAGTTTTTAGAGGTTTAGAAGGTGGGACTGGAGAGATGGCTTTGGAGGCGGGGTTGGATGATGTAGTGTGATTGGGGTATAGTGTTAGTTGGTATGACTGGTTCTTGTGATGGGGTCTTCTTTTATTGATGCAGATTTGTTGTTTGGTGTAGATACTCTACTTCTTGGTATTGTTTAGTTGGTCTTTAAGTTAGCTCTACCGCAGAAGATTTTTTAAGGTATCTTCTCATTCTTTTCAAATTAGAACTATCTAAAGTTAGAGTTACGCCAGTTCTGGTAAAGGAAGTAAAACAAAGCCGGCATAACCCGTTATTGGACTCCACTTCGTTCAAGATGAGCTTGAAGCTATCCTACAAAAGACTTCCTCTACACTTCAATTTTTTTAATTAAATAAGGGGTTTTGGGGTTTTGGGGTTTTGGGG